ATGGTCTATTCTGGAGAATGTTCCATGTGCACTTGAAAAGAATGTGTATTGTGCAGTTGTTGGGTTGAATGCTCTGTACACATCTATGAGGTCCACTTGGCTGATTGTTTAGTTCTGAGTTCACTACACCTTTTTAAGGAAGGATTATAATGTCCTCTTTTTACAGACAAGGAATCTAGGAAAGTCGGAGGTTCAAATCCACCAGCCACTCTGTGGGACAAATATTAGGCAGTCTGATTCCACAGAGATTTATCGTCTCAGAAACCCTAGCAAGCAGCCCTGCTTGGTCCTGTAGGGTTGCTGTGAGTCAGAATCAAACTTGATAGCAGTGGACATGCCAGCATTGTTGTTAAGTGCCGTCGAGTTGGGTCCTACCCATTGTGACCCTGTACCAGGTTTCCAAAGAATAGCTGCTAAGCTTGAATAGCTGTTCTTGCAGTTCAAACTGACTTGCAGTCCAGAGCATTAACCCTCAGTGCCATGCCAGGATCCATACCGGCATTAAGTATCTATATTTATTAATTTATACAAAGATACCATATTGTATACAAACTTTTGTCACTTGCCTATTTCACTTAGTAATGTTTTAAAGATCTTTTCATATCCATGCATACAGTCCTGCCTCTTACTTTATTGTATGCTTGCACCACAGTGTACACGAGTATCACCAATCATTTACTAATGAAGACATGGATTGCTTTCATTTGTTGCCTATAAAAACAGGATTGCAGTAAATATCCTTTTAGCAAACTGTTACTGTTAGCATTTACCCAAAAAATATCCTAAACTCTAATCTTTAAGTTTTATTTTGTGTTTTACACCTTTTCCTGTAAAGTAACAAGTGGCCCGCAGCTGTTAGAGCAAATGGACATCTCCTCCTGAACTCAGAAAAGGTAATACTTCCTACCTTCATTGAAGATCTGAAATTCCACAGAAAGGGTTTTTAATTTAGTAAGATGAACTTAAAATTTTTAAAAAAAAACATGAATGAAATAGTTAACTACCTTCCACTTAAGCCGGGGTAGTGTACTTGGTTAAACGTTAGGCTGCTAACCACAAGGTTAGCAGTTTAAATTCACCAGTTGCTCTGTGAGAGAAACATGAGGGTTTCCGCTCTCGTAAGGATTTTTAAAAAATGTTTTATTGTGAATTATGTGATAGTTTACATAGGAGAACATTAGTTTTATATTCATTCTATCCTATATCGTTTCATTGCCATGGTTACAATCCCCTCTATGCATCATCAACCAACAAAAGGGTATACCCTTCAAGCCTGCCCCCCAGTCATCAGCACACAGCCCCTCTCTCTCTCTGGGTCTAAAGTCCCCAGTCAGTCCCTCTCTCCATGTCATCATTTCTGCCTCCATCTCTGGCGTCACTGTTTCTCTGGGTAGGGTCCCGCTGTCCGCTCTTCTCCCTTGATGGTCCCAGGGACCTCCGCTCCTAGACTGGAGAGTTAATCACTCCCTTCCTTGCTACAAAACTCTACCTTTACATTTCCAACCCTCACAATCAGTCCTGATAACAATCATTCACTATTGTATCATAAGTGACTCATCTGCATTTCATTTCATCATCTCCGCCTAGACAGATTGGATAGTACTCACTGGAGATTCTACCTTCCTCCATGCCCCCTAGCTCTAGGTTCCCTCTTGAAAGCTTGTAAGCCAGTCACTTCTTGCCTTTGTAGCCCCCCCATTTTGGGTAGCCAATGTCCAAGTTGCCCATCCCTGTCTACTCTGTGTATGGAGAGGGTGGGAATGATCCTTGCTGTAAAGATTTGTTCCCTCTTTTGAGCTACTGCATCCATAGGTGTAGGTCAAGTTCATCCTGTAAAGATTTACAGTCTTGGAAACCCTATACACAGTCACTGTGAGTCGACTTGACGGCACACTTCATCATCACCACCTCAGATATATAGAACTAACAGCATAAATGAAATGTTACTTTTTAAATTGAGCTAGTGAAGTAGATAAATATAATAGCCTGAGAGTTGGGCAATTATACTTAAGAGTGACAAAAGGTGACCCTGATTGTGATTAGTAGAGAGGGATGTCGGTATGCTATTCTTATCTATTTTATTTCTGTTGTTGTTGTTAAGTGCCTTCAAGTCAGTGCTGACTCATAGCAACCCTGTATAGGGTTTCCAAGGAGCAGCTGGTGGACTTAAAGCACCAACCTTGCAGTTAACAGTGCAGTGCCATACCAGGAAGCCATGTTTACTACTGTTGCTTCTACTACCACTAATATTACTTCTAATATGTGTGGTTTTTATATACCGCATGTTGCATCATAACATTAATCAATATTCTTAACAGAAGGTTGTGTATACTTCATCACAGTCAAAGTTCCCACTTGCTTCTATGGTGCCTTTGTGCTAGTTAGAAAGAGGTACCTCACTCCATGAAAAGAAATTGTAATATATTTTTAATTTTTCATTAATAACATTTATAACAACTTGGATTTGGTGCAGTGAATGAATTTTGCTGTTACCAATGGCATGTTTGTGGGAAAAGAATATTTGTTAGTAAGTATGCATTAATTAAAATAGTTATAAATTCAAACAAATAGTAGATTCGAATTGCAGCATGAAATACCAGATTCAACCAGTGCTCTAATACTGAAAGTTGATAAAAGTATTTAAGATATTTAGTTAATTACTACACTGAAATAATCCTTGTTTAGTAGCATGAACTATTGAAGAGTTTGGTAAATTAACAAGGACTTTTGATTAATCCATTCCTCCTTTGTAAGTAAAAGTGGAATAATACATATTTGAATTCAGTTAGAACATGACAGTTTTTTGGTCTGTCTGAACATTGTTGTTCTATGCTGATTTTAATAGAACACGATACCTTTATTGCCATGTAGTGGAAAATTGGTATTATAATCACCTCTCTTTGGCATTAGAAAAGTGGTGGTAAAGACATACAAAAATTCTAAATAATAACGATTTCTAGGCTGTGAATGGAATCTGCTTAGATGTGCTTCACTCATGTTGTTTGTAACTCAGAGAAACCAGTTATTGTGATAATGACAGGAAGTTCCTTCAAATCCTGGCCTCCTGAGCTAGTTTATTCCATTTCTGAATGACTTTGTGACCAGGTAAAAGGTGCCATCGTTATAGTGGACTCATTCTACATGTCTACATTAACTACCAGGGGACATTAATGGGCAAAGCAGTAGCTTGAGTATCATAGCAGATTAGACATCCTGTCCTGGCTCGGTTATTGTCTAGCTGAGTGACCCACACAAATATCTTGGTTGGATGAGCTTCAGTTTTTTGCCTTTATAAAGTTGTTAAGTGCTGTCGAGTTGCTTCTGACTCATAGCAGCCCTGCATAAGGTTCCCAAGGACTGGCTGGTGGGTTTGAACCACCAACCTTGTGGTTAGCAGTCCAGTGCTTATCCTACAGTGCCACACCAGGACACTGTAAAGTTAATGTAAGGTATTATTTTTTTTCTATGTTTCTAATTCCTTTTTGTCTTTGTCTGATCATGTCCAACGCAGTTAATTTGGGTTGATTGATAACACCATATTGCTATTAATGCCTGACCCATTTACTTTCCATTTCAGATGTCGAAATCCACAGGCAACTTTCTCACTTTGACCCAAGCTATCAATAAATTTTCAGCTGATGGTGAGTATTTGTATTTGCTAATTGCTGTTGCTTGTTGCATAGGATCTGATTCACCTCTGATTACAGAAGGCAAGTTAAAATGATTGTTTTAATTTTATTTCCTTATTCTTTTGCTTCTAACGTTATTGTAAAACAGTCAGATTTTCTTTGCAAAACCTGTGAAAGCTGGAGCCTGTGTAAGGTAGAAACTTGTCATGAAGAAAAACGCAAATATTTTCCACTAAGAGAGCAACATTGCACTCTGTCAAAGGTGAAAAACTTAGAGACCCAGAAAAACAGGGCAGTCACGCTGAGTTCCTTCTCTCACAGGTGTCACAACAATAGAATTGCTGAGGTGATCTTTTAGGAATAAAGTCAAGCTAAGCTTACTTGGACTCTTTGAAAGGAAACTCACTGTTAATTGTCACCTGGATTATTTATTTTTTACTTCCTGGTGTGGTGCTGTGGGATCAGTACTGGACTAGCTAACTGCAAGGTCGGCAGTTCAGACCCACTAGCTACTTCTCTGAAACCCTAGAAGTGGCACTGTGAGTCAGAACTGACTTCACGACACTTAACATAAAATTGAAGACTTGGTTTATAGAGATAAATATGTAGAAAGATTTCCTAGTATACTCGGTGTTCTGGTGACTTAAATCTAGAAGCATTAATTTTTCAGAAAAGCTTTTTTTTTTTTTACATACCCCATCTCATCACTATTGCATTTTAATTATTTTGTCAAGGGAAGAACTGCATTGTGTAACCTGAAGGAGCCATTCATTCCTCATGTAACCTAGTTGTTGATCCTCATGGTGCTTCTTTTTGATTGGTAATGGCCAGCACAGTTTGAGTTTTCAGTTCTTCCTATTTAGAACTAAGCTCTTTCTGTCTCTTAGCTTGCATGCTTTAAAGGGTTACTTACTTTTGATTTGGTAATTGCAAAGAGTGAACACCAAACACTTTTGCTTCTCATCTGGGCTCAATAATTCACTGTAGTGACCACGCAGAACGCAGACACCATACACACAGTTACGGAGTGTATTAAGGAAGTTAACAGATTACAATTCAGAATCAGAAATGCTCAGGGCACAGTAGTTCCAGTCAGAACAGCCTCTCCTCAGCCACACCCACAGACAGACTTCTCTATACCTTACTAATGTTACATAGCTCTTTTAGGCCTGCTGACACACCATTCCACTGTAGCCTCAGCCTGACAGCACTCGGCTCTAGTTTCATGGGTCAGCAGACTTAGCTCCCCCAATTAAGTCTGTGGAAGCACCCCACTTTGTAAGCAAGCCTACTTCCCAAAGTCACTCAGCTGTACTTGCTCTGTGATCTGGGAAGCCCACTGTTCTAGTTCTTACTCTGGCTCTTGGTTCTCCTGCTGCTGCTCTGCCACTCCCATGGTGTCAAGCTTTCTGTTTCTGGGTCAAAGAGGTTCATTGCACAGAAATCTCGGGGTCCAAATGACACGCTTTTCTTTAAATTGTAGTGAAATTTCCCCCTCCTGTTTCTGAGATGGATCATCTTATACCACTGCTAGAGTTTCACATTTTTACAATTACAATTAACTCTTTTAACACGCACAGCTGAATCATGTCATCCTATTAATGTCTTTTCCAACAGGAAAAGAGTTGTTTGGTGGGAGTTACAAAGACTAAAGCTATACCACAGTATTGCTTTCAAATGGTTCAATATTTAAAGGGTATAAAAGCTTGGGCAGTGAAAATACTCCCTCACACACTTAACCCTACCCATGTATATATAGATAACCAAAGTTATTTGTTCAGGCATTGCTGCAGAGAATCTGAATTGGTACAACTCTCTTCAAGGGAAATTTGGCAGTGCCTAACAAAACTCCATATGCACTCACCTGTATGTCTCAACAGTTTCACCTTTAGGAATCTTGACTAAAGGAATACCTCTAACAATGCAGAAATATTTGTACACAAGGGGTTGCAAAAAGTTTGTTAACAATACAGAAATATTTGTACACAGGGGGTTTCAAAACGCTTATGAAAACAATGGAATGTTTCTACCAACTTTTTGAAGTCCCCTCGTTTATATGCATAATTATTGCATCATTTTCTGTTCTTGTAACATACTGGAAGCAGCCTAAATGTCTACATGTAGAAGAATGATTGAATGAATTGTTGTTGTGTTGTTAAGTGCTGTCGAGTCAGTTCCAACTCATAGTGACCTTGCATAGGGTTCCCAACAAGCAGCTGGTTAATTTGAACCACTGACATTGTGATTCAAACCGACCTTGCGGTCCAGTGCATTAACCTCCAGTACCACACCAGGATTCCTTGTGATGAAGTATAATGTACCTGTAAATAAAGAATGAAGAAGATCTTTATACACTGATTTGAAGTGATTTCCAAGATATATATATATATAAGTATCTCTCCCAAGATATTTTTTAATTACAAAAGGAGAATAATAACTTTATAGTCAAGAACCTTGGCAGTGATCAAAGTTAGTATAACCAGTAATAAGTCAGACAACATCACATACTAGCTAATGTCATGCCCTGAGAAGGGGTAATATCACTTCTGTGGTATTCTTGCCAAAGGTGCATAACCTAAATTTAATAAAGAAACAACATCAAACACACCCATATTGGAAGAAATTCTAATTAACTGACTTCTTGTTAAGTGTCATTGAGTTGGCTCCAGCTCATAACGAGCATGTATAAGGTTTCCAAGGAGCCATTGTTAACGTGTTTGAATTGCCTATCTTGTGGTTAGCATTCTAGTGCTGATCCTACAGCATCACAATATGACTAGGATTTAATCAAGAAAGGCAAGGAGTGGCTGAGAAACTGTCACACATCAGAGGAGACATAACAAATAAATGTAAGATTCTGGATTGGATTCAGGAACGCATAAAGGATAATGACGGAAAAACTTAGGAAATTTGAATTAGTTCTATAGTTTAGTTTGGTTTTAAGTATACTATAGTTATATGAGGTGTTAACATATTATATTTAGTGTTCTGCACTTTGCCTCTCTCACCTAATGGTTTATATTTGAAATCTTTCCATATTGATCCATAGAGAGTGTCCTTATTCTTTACAGTAATGTAATATTACATTGTAGGGGGATGTCATATAATTTATTTAATTAGACTCTCATTGGTGGACATTTAGTTTTTTTCCAGTATTTTAAATTAAAAGATTTGGTAGTACAGGCATACCGCAGAGATACTGATTGTATGTTTGAGTCCAGATTACTATAATAAAGTGAATATTATGATAAAGTGAGTGGCATGGATTTTTTGGTTTCCTAGTGTGGTGCTGTGGGTTATGTGTCAGACTGCAAAGTCGGTTTGAACTGCAGGGTCGGTGGTTCAAGCTCACCATTCACTCCTTGGAAACCCTCTACAGGGTCACTATGGGTCGAAACTGACTTGATGGCACTTTACAACAACAATAACAGTGCATATAAAAGTTATGTAAGCCATATAATTATTGGATTCCAAATGACTAATACCAGTCCATTTCAGCTCACTAGTGTGTAGAATATCTATCTTTATGCATTTAATTTCATTTTTGATAGCTTCCAGTTTTCCTAGATTCATACTTTATGCATTTCTTGTTCCAATTAGTGGATGTTTGCAGCTGTTTCTTTCTATTTTGAGTTGTATATGTAAATCCATACTGACCATTCAAATATGTTAATAACATAGCTAGAGATCCTGCTTTTGGGAATTTGTATTTGTGTTGTTGAATCAGACCAGTCCTTTAAAGCATTTGTTATTTCTTAATTATGTAGGTTTTTCAGGGTACCAAGTTGGACCCATAGGTGATGTTTAGTAACCATAGTTTTAATTTATTTTTTCCACTTCTTCTAGGAATGCGCCTGGCTCTGGCTGATGCTGGTGACACTGTTGAAGATGCCAACTTTGTGGAAGCCATGGCAGATGCTGGTATTCTCCGTCTGTACACTTGGGTGGAATGGGTGAAAGAAATGGTTGCCAACTGGGGTAGCCTAAGAAGTGGTTCTGCCAATACTTTCAATGATAGAGTCTTTGCCAGGTAAGCCATGGGCTCCACCTACTTTATATTTTAGAGTTGCTTCATAGTCCTAGTGCAGTTTTAAGTTTTCCTTTTTTATAAAATAAATGGATGTTGTCGCCATCAAGTTGGTTCTGACTTACAGCAACCTTATGCACAACAGCTATGACATTTAAAAAAAATGTTTTATTGTGTTTTTGGTGAAGGTGTTCATAGCAATTTATATTCCCATTCAACAATTTCTACACAAATTTTTCATTGACATTGGTTACATTCGTCACAATGTGTGAACATTCTCATTTTTTCTCTTGTGGTGGTTCTGATTCTATTAATCTCAATTCGCTGTCTCTTTACAGTCTCATCTTTGTTTAAAAGTAATTATTGACTAATAACTACTATTTTTTGAAGGCTTACTAATGCCTGACACGGTGCTAAGTACTTTGTGTCCATTATATGATTTTATCCTCCTATCAACCTTATGTGATAAAGATGTTATTAGCTATATTTCACAGATTAAGAAGCTGAGGTTTAGAAAAATTAAGAATTTCATTAAAGCCAATAATTGTAAACTTGCTTATGAATTTGCTTCTGTCTGTCTCCAAAGCCCATTTTCACAATCATTTTGCAATGCTGTCTTGCCTAGGGCAGAATGGTTAAAGGAGAAAGGAGAAGTGTTACCCCCTTTAAAAGACATTTATCGGCCTCTTACTTTGTGTTGGAAACCATCCTAAGCACTGGCATTACAAAAATTAATAAGACCTGATTCTTCCATGTTGTCTAGCAGAAGAGGCAAATGTTTACCCAAACAGTTATAAGTGCAATAGTAGGGATAGAGAGACTTCAGAGGAGATGACATGTGAGTTCTTGGGTCTGTGACAAATAAGCAGAAATTTTTGCAGGGAGAGCAGAAAGTGCACAGAAAAGTGCAGTTTTTACTTTGGTATTTATTGGAACAACAGTGAGTACTGTGACTGCAGTGTACTGTTCATGGAGGACCAGGGAAAGATAAAACAGACTGGGGCCAGATTACACCAAATTATGAAAGATCTGGGAAGCCATTGAGAAATCTTTTTTTTCCTTTCTTTCAAATTAGTATCCAGTATCAGTTAATTAGAGTAAATTTTTAAGCCATTTTTATAGTGCATTTTGGGTTTCTTTCTTTTTTTTTAACTTTTTATTATGAATTGAGTGAAGGTTTAAGAACAGATCATCAGTTTTACATTCAATAAATCATATACTTTGTTTCATTATGATGATTGCAGTCCCCTCCATGCACCAACAGTTAACAGCATTTACCTCTATCCACTTTTTTTTTTTTTCTTTTTAAGGTTTTTATTGTGGATTGAGTGAAAGTTTACAGGGTAGATATCATCAATTTTACATTCAACAAATCATACACCTTGTTTCATTACAATGCTAATAATCCCCTCCATGTATCATCAGTTAACACTATTTCTCTCTATCTACTTTAGCTTTAAAACAAACAAACAAAAAAACCACTCAGGCATATATAATAATTTACACTTTCAAAGGGCGCATTCTGCAAGCCTGCCTCCTGGCCACCAGCTCTTAGTCCCTCTCTTCCCATAAATCTAGAGTCCTTGGCCACTCCCCCTCTCCATGCCCCCATCTTTGCCTCTGTCTCTGGCATCTCTGCTTCTCTGGATGTTGTTGTTGTTGTGAAGTGCCATTGAGTTGATTCTGACCCGTAGTGACCCCTGTATAGGGTTTCCAAGGAGCAGCTGGTGAGCTTGAACCGTCATCTATGCAGTTCAAACAGCTTTGCAGTCTGACGTATTAACCTAACCCACAGTACCACACCAGGACTCCTCTAGATAAGGTTCCAGCATTCTGCTTGTTCTCTTCTCCCTTGATGGTCCTAGAATTCTCGGACTGTAAGATTAACCACTCCTCTGTTTTTGTTACAGAACTTCTACCTTTACAATTGTGACAGTTGCGTTTAGTCATTATAACAATTACTACGGAATGATACAAATCTTACCCCCATCTCTTTTCACCAGACCCATCTAGACAAGATGACAACTATTCAGTGGGGACTCTTTCTTTCCCCCCACACTCTTAAACTAAACTACCTGTTGAAACCTTGTAAGCCAGTCACTTTGTGCCTTTATCACTCCTCATTTTAAGTAGCCAGTGTCTAAGTTGCCCATCCCTGTCTACCCTGTGTACAGAGGGGATAGCAATGAGACTTGATGTGAAGACTCTTTCCCTCTCTGTTGGTATTTAAAGTTAACTGCCTCTATGAGTATAGGTCAGGTTAGTCAAATTGTAGCAATTTACCCTTGTTTCCTTTATCAAAAAAAAAAAAAAATTTTTTTTTTTTCTAATCTAGTCAAGTTCTGATTATCAAGCCATCGAGGCTAGGTCAAATGGGTACTGTCTGCAAGTTTGGGTTTTCTTGTGCATCTCCCCTCACTTCATATCAGCTGAATGGCTTCACTCTCAGCTCTAGCCCTCTGTGGCTATGTCCTTGTCCATGGGCTCAAGTGTCTTCAGGTCTCACCACACTTTGGACCAACCAGCCCTTCCTCTTTTCTCTCTCATCTCCAGGTCTATGGGAGTCTGCATTTTGGGTTTTATAACAGTTTCCATCTAGGAATTTTTAAGCATTGTTAACTGTACCCTAAACAGGAGCCATCAACAGTGTCTGATGACATAACTTAAGGGAATAGACAAATAAGGAGGCAGCAATAGGCAGTTTTAAGGAACACAAAATGGGCTTGTGGTTGAGCAGTTTTAAAGTGCCATGGGCTTCCAAAAGAACCAACAGATCTGTGTTGGAAGAAGTGCAGCCAGAGTGCTCCTTGGAGGCCAGGATGGCCAGATTTCATTTCTCATACTTTGGACATATTGTCAGGAGGGACCAGTCACTAGAGAAGGATATCATGTTTGGTAGGGTGGAGGATCAGAGAAAAAGAGGAAGACCCCCAGCGAGATGGACTGGCCAAGTGGCAGCATCGATGGACTCACGCGTGGCAACAATAGTGAGGTTGGCCCAGGATTGGGCTGTGTTTCATTCTGGTTGTGCATGGTTAACTGTACCCCAAACAGGAGCCATCAACAGTGCCCAATGACGTAACTTAAGGATATAGACAAATAAGGAGGCTGCAGTAGCCAGTGTTAAGGAACACAAAATGGTTTTGTGATTGAGTAGTTTTAAATGTTTCAGATTTTATTCTCGTTTTGCTGTTTATTTGTTTATAAAATGACTTCTTATTCCAAAGTAACAGTGCTTTTAAGTTCAATAACCTTTTTCTCTCCCTGTTATTTGATAGTGAAATGAATGCAGGAATTATTAAAACAGATCAAAACTATGAAAAGATGATGTTTAAAGACGCTTTGAAAACAGGCTTTTTTGAGTTTCAGGTAGGCAACGAATTCTTTTGGTAAACCATATCTGTGTGACTATGTCTGTACTAATTTCCCTTCTGTTAAAACATAACTGAGGAGTCCTGGTAGTGGTGTGGAAGGAACACTGGGCTGCTGATAGCAAGGTCAGTGCTTCAAACCCACCAGCTGCTCTGTGAGACAAAGATGAGGCTGGCTGTTCCCATTAAGACTTAGGGTCTCAGAAACCCTATGGAGTAGGTCTGTCCTGTCCTGTACGTCTGTCCTGTCCTATAGGGTTGCTATGAGTAGGAATTGACTCAGTGGCAGAGGGCATAATAACTCATTTGAAGGGAGATCCTGGAAATCCTACTAAGAAATTTAAAAATTCCTTAATAGAGTATAGGTTTAAGTAGCTTCTTTGGTACATTTTCTGTTGCGTTCATCTGATATACAGAGTTCTGCTCCTAGTTGAGCCATGGGTATGAGTAAAGAGATTAAGACTAGCATCAGTCATATTTTTCATTGAAACCTTTTAAAATTGATCAAACCTTAGGTTCTTTTGTAACTATAGGCAGTTTCCAGATTACAAATTAGTTCCATTCCTAAATCTGTCTTTAAGTTGAATTTGTACATAAGTTGGAGCAGTTAGGTATGGTTCATATCTAGCGTCAGTTTGTCAGATGTTTGTCTTACCTTATAAAATAATATTTAGTGTACTTTTCTGTACATAAAAAAGCATTAAGGAAACACCTTCAGATACACTCCATCATCTTTGGCATGATAATGTAATGATAGTGTTCGGATGCACATCACAAGGTAGTTCCTGTTACAGACCACTGTATAGTCCTTGAATTTTTTAATATAAGAGGGGGTTGCTTTAATTTATTATGGGTGTGGGCTCAAAAGTATGGGCTGGACTTAAGCCTGACATTCCTAAACATAATTGCAATTAATTTGATAGGAAACTGTTCTGAAGTGTTCCACAAGGTGTCAGTATTTCCTCAGGTTTGGTGTTTCATGTATTTAAAATAAAAGTGTAGCTCTACTCAATCAGTTTTGTAAAATATCATATTGGAATTTATGTAATTGGTTCTCAGAGATGTTGTTAAAGAAGGATAAGTGGGGAACATGGCAATGTGATGTATGTATAGCCTTTTTTGATATTTAATATCTTTCCTGTGTGCCCCTCGGAGCATTAATCCTTGTTGTTTGTTGTTGTTATGTTGATTCTGAGTTATGGTGAGAGACCCTGTGTGTTGTAGTAAAACTGCGCTCCATAGGATTTTCAAGGTTGTGACCTTTTGAAAATAGATCTCTATGCCTATCTTCCAAGGTTCCTCTGGTCGGGTTTGCACTGCCAACCTTTTCGGCTAATTGTCAAGTGCTTAACTATTTGCGCCACCCAGGGGTTATTCATAGCACACAGTTAAAATTGTTCAACATTGATGTTTCAGTTAGAAAAACTGCAATATCCTTTTGGCAAAGATTGATACACATTTATCTTCAAGTTGTTAAAATAAAATGAAACCTCTGTAATAATTCACTGTGGAATTTTAAAAGACTAAAACTTTAAAAATACATGAAAAAACAAAGATATTGACTTTTTTTTCTTATAGTTTTATTTTAAAGATGTGAGAGAAATAGTAAATAATTGCATTTTTTTCTAGGCTGCGAAAGATAAGTACCGTGAATTGGCCATAGAAGGCATGCACAGAGAACTCGTGTTCAGGTTTATTGAAGTTCAGACGCTTCTTTTGGCACCTTTCTGTCCACATTTGTGTGAGCATATCTGGACACTCCTTGGAAAGGTAGCTGTAAAAACTTAAGATATTGTGGGCGGTTTTTATTTTTACTCCATTAAGTAAATGTTGTATTGTTGTTACTTATGGGGAAAAGGCTGAAAATGAGTATTTCAGGAATTAATAAATACTGTCATATTATTGCAACAGGTTAAACTAAAGCTACTTTTGTTAACTAGACAGATACTTGTTCCTGTATTTTTATGCACACAGTGCATAAATTAAGAAAATGTTTTCTGCATGTTATTATCACCTAATTTCCATCTGTTTGAAATGTTGTAATACATTTGAATATATTATACGTATATAACGAATATTTTTCCAACTGTTTGGTAAAAAGGTGAAAATATTGAGAAAAATATGAACAACTGTTATGAGCTGCTTATAAACAAAGATAGAAGTATATATTTGCATAAATATTCTTGTTTTATATAAATTCCCTAGTGTATATAGGACTGCATATTCAGAGATATTATATTAGCATTCTTAGTGTGAAGATAAATTCAGTTTTGCCTCCCAGGCTTGCAGATAGATTGACTGGTTTAATAACTCCTTTCCAATTTTATTAGCCAGGTTTTTTGTATTTTTCAGTGCATGCACAATGTAAAAATATGTACATGATGTATACACCGAATGGCCATACTTTCAATGCTGGGTGTATTAATAGGATGAGAACTGAGAGTGTGCATAATTTTTATAATAATGATTAAATTTAGGCAAATTAGCATTACATAATTTTCTTTGAAAGTGAGCATATGTGTGTGGGTATTAATATGTTTGTACAAATGGATGCTAATTAAGAACGTGGAGTCAGACTTCACAGCATGAATTCTAGGGAACATTATATCAGGGATGGTAGCAGTGTGTTGATGTATAGTCAGGTTTGAACTTTGGGCACACAATTACAGATGGTAGCCTTGGTATGCAACTACAATCAGGAATCATAAAATCATTGTGTTGTCTGATTGTCCTAAACCTTTTTTGTTGTTTTTTAAAGGCTGGCTCAATTATGAATGCATCCTGGCCTGTGGCGGGCCCTGTGGATGAAGCCTTGATACGGTCCTCCCAGTATCTCATGGAAGTAGCACATGACCTCAGATTGCGACTCAAAAACTATATGATGCCAGCTAAAGGAAAGGTAAAGGCCTTTTACCAAAAAGGTCATTTCTTGAGAATTATTGGTCAAGTAACATTTTAACAGCAATGAAAATTAAGAAAGCTTTATTTAAAAGTGTAGTGTTATCTTCACACTAGAGTTCTATAGGATGTACATGCTTTAATGCTAAAGGCAGTCGGAGTGTTATATATAAGGGAAGGTCTGTCTTTTCATTTTGGGTTTACATAAAAGTGATACGGTGTTTTGTTTTACCTTGTAGAAGACTGACAAGCAGCCGCCACAGAAGCCTTCACATTGTACCATTTATGTGGCTAAGAACTACCCATCTTGGCAACATACAACTCTGTCAGCTCTACGTAAGCACTTTGAGGTGATGCTTTAATTATTTCTTTTGCCTCACAATATTGTTGTCTGTTGCCTATTTTGCCTTTGTTATCCTTGTTGTTAAGTGCTGTTGAGTTGGTTTCGACTCACAGCGACCCCGTATAGGGTTTCCAAGGAGCGGCTAGTGTGTTTGAACTGCTGATGTTGTGGTTCAAACCGACCTTAAAGCACCACAACAGGAGTCCTTGCTATCTTTCATCGATCTTAAATGGATGCCAACTGAAAAAAGTTTTGGCTTTTTCAAGATTTCTGAAACTTACAAAAATATGATAGATATAGTTGTATGTAACTAAAAGATGTGGTGCTTCTTATGTGTGGTTAAAATTATATACAAGGATTGATTTTGCCTTTTGTATTAGTTGTGAGTTGAACACTGGGATTCATGAAGCCTAAACTTTAATATGATTTGAAAAAAATGGAAGGTTGGCTATTGAGTATATTAAAAGAAATGTTCAATTTGGTAATTATCTGTAGAAATGAAGAAATCAAAGATGTTTATGGTTCTGTTAGGCAAATAGCTATTTTAAATAAAGTAAATCTGTTTGAAAGAAACTCAGTAGTTATAATTTTAGGTTTTCCTGAACGGAAAAATTCACCTGCCTTTTTTTCTTTGACATTCAAAATTGTGGAAACAAGGTGTATTAGGGAGTTTTGTCTTTTTTGCTCAGGTTGTTATTGGTGGACACAAATCATTAAGGTGTACTTCAAAAAGAGAGAGAATGAAAATGGGGGTGGTGGCCAAAGCATAAAGAGATGGCCTAGAGAAAAAAATCCTTAGCTTTGATTTTTCAGGTTTTTACTAAATTTTTGCCTCAATAGTTTTCATAGTACTCAGGACTGATTATGGAACAATTAATAAAATTTGTAAAACTTGATGGGAATAGAAGAGTGAATATTTTTGTACTATTTGTGACTGTGGAAAATGACCTCCCTCTTTGACATTATATACTAGAACTAGAAGGTAGCCATGAAAATCTGCTTACATATTTCGAATTACAGTAAGTAAAAGAGTAAGAGCTACTTTGTTGAGCAGAAGAATGAAATTGTACCTGAGTGGCTTGCCTGCTCATGCTAGTGCTTTCAAGGTAGCTGGTGAAGAACCAAATGTGGTATGTAATGTCCCAGGTGTTAAAAAAATATGTATGACCTCTGTTCTTTTTAGGCTTATGTTTTTATTTAGTATTTATTGACTAGATAATGTAGTTTCAAAACAAAATTATGTTTTGGCATTGGTATTTCAAATGATTAGCTTCCTTTCAAAGTTTTGTTTGTTTTCACCCAAAAGAACTTAAAAAAAAATGTTTATAATCTAAAGTGAGTTTTTTAAACATGGCACATTTTATGCTGCTGATATAAGGAAAAGAAGTATTTTTTACCTCTTCCTTTTCTTTTATATGTATTTCAGAACAACATACTGAAAGTAATGAAATGTACTTTAGTCAAGGTTGAAAGTCAGTAGATTACTTGAAATTTTAGTATATGGATACTTTTACTATAAAGAGAAAAGAAGTCACTCCAAGCTCTGAAAATATAGGTTACTTTGTTTCTCACTCTATAGAAGGAAACAGTTGATGTATATAATAGTGAACTAAAATTCAGTCAGCACATTTAATAATATATGTATATTAGTGATATATGGTGTAGTCATTTATTTTTTTACCTGACTAATCTTTATTATCATTTTTTTGCTAGGCATTTATTTATTATTATTTTTAATATTTTCTTGTGGATTATATGATTGTTTACATGTTAACATGAGAGAACTTTAGTTTTACATTCATTCCATCGTACATCATTTCATTGCCATGGTTCCAATCCCCTTCATGCATCATCAACCGACCAAAGGGCATATCCTAGAAACCCGCCCCCTTACCCTCGCCCCTCCCCGCCAAGTCTTCGGCCCACAGGCCCTCTCCCTCTCTGGATCCAAAGTCCCCAGCCGCTTTATCACTCCACGTCATCGTCTCTGTCTCCATCTCAGGGATCTCTGGTTCTCTGGGTAGGGTACTGCTCTTAGCTCTTCTCCGTTGATGGTCCTATAAACCTCTGCTCCTAGACTGGAGAGATAATCGCTCTCTTCCTTGCTATAAAACATCCACCTTTGCACTTCCAACCCTCATAACCAGTCCTGATAACCATTATTCACTACAGTATCAGGAGTTACCCATCTGTATTTCATTTCATCAGCTCCGCCTAGACAGATTGGATAGTACTCACTGGAGATTCTGCCTTCCTCCATGCCCCCTAGCTCTAGGTTCCCTCTTGAAAGCTTGTAAGCCAGTCATTTCTTGCCTTTGTAGTCCCCCCTCCCCATTTGAGTATCCAATGTCCAAGTTGCCCATCTCTGCCCACTCTGTGTGTGGAGGGGGGTGGGAATGTTTCTTGCTGTAAGGATTTGTTCCTTCTTTTGAGTCACTGCACCCGTAGGTATAGGGCAAGTTCATCAGATTGTATCAGCTCACTCTTCCCGCCCCCCCCCCTTCTTTCTTCTCCTGGTTGAGCTCTGATCATCTAGTCATCTGGTCCAGGTCACGTGGGTACTATCTGCAAGTGTGGGTGTGTTCTTGTGCAAGGCATTTATTTTTGAGCAGTTAGAAATGTTAGTATTCACTGGTAATAACTTTGTTCTTAACAAGTGTGCTTACAATTTATAAGAAAATGAAAGTGTTCAAAAGCAGGTACTATATAAACCTTGTATGATAGCTGTGTGGTTTTTCATTTTCATGTGATTAGTGAAATACTTTAGAAGTTGGAACACAAACTACATCTTTATAAGACCATTTTAGTTTCTTATTGGGTAGGATCCAAAGTTACAGCCCTGGAGGTGCCATTATTGTAAGGAAAGACTAAATATTCAGCACAGAACACTGTTTTTCACCTTTGCACTAAAAACAGGTATAGAAGACTCCCTCGTGTGCTGTTCATTCAGCTTTCACTTCACCCAGTTGCTCGGGCTGTGCACTGTTGTACTGCTCTCTGACAATGGTTGGAGGTCGTTATTCTCTGTCTAGCAGACATATCTGCTCTCCTGTATTATCTCTAAAATACTCAGTCTCCACATTTTCTCGCTCCCTTCCCTTTCTCCACTCCCCTCCATTTTTCAGGCCAACAGTGGAAAATTGCCTGATAACAAAGTCATTGCTAGTGAACTAGGCAGTTTGCCAGAATTGAAGAAATATATGAAGAAAGTGATGCCATTTGTCGCCATGATTAAGGTAAGCTGTGGACAGTAGCATAGCTGTGATCACATCCGTAATGGTTAGGTAGGGCAGTAGAATGAAGGGGGGAAGCTTTAGACACAGTCTGCCCTCAAAAATCTGCTAAAATAGCACTGTTCAATCAGTGGTTAAGAGAAATGAGCTGTCAGCTGTTGGGTTTATCTGTGCAGTTGCTGAGTAAATGAAAATATGTATTGTGCGAGAAAAATTGGTTTAGAATTGGTGCACTAATGATTCTCTTCATGCTCTACCTTCCCTCCTTCTCAGTTTGATAAGGAGGCATGCACTTTTGGCTTAGAGTGTTTTTTCGGAAACAAGATTCGACATTTGTATAGGTTTAGCTTAACAGGTTAAGTTGCTGATTATAATGGTTAGACCAGGTTTTCTGAATTGTGCGTCTTTCGGTATATTGAACCAGGTAGTTCTTTGTTGTAAGGGGTTGTCCTGAGTGTACCTGCTCTTCACTTATCAACTGGCTAGTTTTCTGACATTTCACATTTACAGCAATAGTAAAAAAGGAAAAAAAATGTATCCAATCAATTTGCACATTAGAGGTGTACATCTGACAATAAGGAATGGCACAGTGTGAGTTGTGATGGGTAAGATTATGTGTCAGCTTGGCTTGGCTATGATTCTCAATGGCTTGGCAATTATTTAATGATGCAACCTGACTATTATATAATGATATAGTTATCCTCCATTTTGTGTTCAGATGTGGTCATTCTCCATGTTCTCCTCATGCCAGATTTTACATGATGGCCTGGTCTTTGGAACCTAACCATGTCAATAAAATGAGAACTGGGTGTAGTATAGAATGTTCGTCAGTATCCCTGGTTTCTACCCTTAGATATCAGTAGAAAACTGCCTCATTCCTGTTATGACAACTAAAATATGTCTCTAGGCATTTCCAGGTGTCTTCGGGGGCCGTGCAGGAGATTCACCCCCCAATTGAGAACCACTGGGTTAGACTTTTTAGTTTCTTCATATACTTACTTAGCCTGTTTTTTGATGGATAGAAACTGAAAGAAGAAGGCTGTGTAGATCATTGCTGAATGTCTCAGTCTCTGGTGCCAGACAAATTTGTATTCATAGCCTGAAAACTCAGCTACTTTTGAGATCTTAGACAAATTGCTTAGATTCTCTGGGCCTTAGAAGTTTTTTTGTCTATAAAATGAGGATGTTAATAGAGCCTACTTTTCAGGAGTGCTGTGAGGAGTGAATTAAGTCATGCACTTAAATACTGACTGTCAAGAAGTAGGCTTAGTAAAAATTTTTAATAATGTAAATTAGTGTCTTTAAGCCTCCTAAGAGCACAGTGGTTATTGTGTTTTAGATCATTTTAGAAGTCATCTTGCCTGCTGCTATGTGATGGAAACCAGAACTTTTAGCTTGATCAATGTTGAAGTCGATTGATACTCTCAGGAAAGTCTTTAATTCATTTTGACCTAAGTCAGTTATCATGAGACACAAGGCATAAATAGAATCCTGGGTTCACCTTTACCAGTCAAGTTATAATACGTTTGTTGGGGTGCTCAGAGTGCATTCGTTCCCCACTCAGATGTTGCCATTAGTCAGAATGCCTGACTATGTCAATATGTGGATTCAACAAAAATATACCATTGGGGGTTACAGAAGCAATTAATTTTGTTAGAATGGCAGTTTTAAAAAAGTAATGTTGGTGATTTGCATGCATACAAGTACATTTCCAAATTTTGAAAGTGATTAATAAACATGGGGAGAAGAAGTGGCTTTTCTAGCACTTTTCCATGACTTGGATGATAAAGTCAAACAATGACTACCAGGATTCATGTGAGGTCACTTTGCATATTTGTGCAGCATGCCCCAGGCCATTAGCTATATCTTGGATCTGTAAGGTTATATTTTGAGCTACAAATATTAGATAGTCAGAAAATTTAAGAGTAAAACATTATTTTTTGTATGTCGTCAAATTACCTGACTTTATCTTTTTTTTTAAACTTCAATGAAACATTTTCTGTAGGTTTTTGTTATTGTTATTAGTTCAGTATTTTCTGAGATAGTTTTAAAAAGGGTAGTATCTCAAAAATGTAATTTAAAAAAATTTACCTGAAGGGATATTGTCACACATTTGTTTGATTCCTTATCAAAGCTAATATTAACAATTTAAATCAGTAATGATAAAACCATATGTATTCTATAAATCTGAAAACCTGTGCCTTCCAGTTTTTTCATTGCTGCTTTATTATTACCATTCTTTAAGTGACAATTACCTGGGCTAGCAATTTAATTAACAAGCCGCCATAAGGGAAAGCATGAATCTGGGCCTTTCCTTTCACTGTTCAACTTTGTTGATTTTATCAACTGAATAAACAAACAATGATTGCATTGGAGAAATAGGTTCTTTTCAACATCTACTTAATGTGATTTTGTTTTCAAAACCATTTTGGCTGTTAGGAAAATCTGGAGAAGATGGGACCACGGGTTCTGGATTTGCAATTGGAATTTGATGAACAGGCAGTGCTCTTGGAGAATATAGTCTACCTGACAAATTCTCTTGAGGTAAGGGGGCTAAGGGTTGTAATAATTAGTGAACAGTTTATTACAGTTATGCAATTCTTTTGTTTTATAATAAACTTCTTATAAATTTTGATCTGTAGCACTGTTGTCAAATATATTAGTCAAGTATATTTTTGGAGGGAAATGGAAACCATGTAGGTATAGAAGTTGCAGGAACAAGGTTTGTCATCTTAGGTGATTTAACAACTGTCCTCACATAAAAGACTAACTGTATGTAATTGGGTTTCCCTCCAAATATTATTGTTAGAAAATGAGGAGATTTCAACCAGGGACACAGTAAATGCTCCTGGTTAAAATGGGAGAAAAATGTGTATGAAAACTCAAATCCTTTAAAAGATCAGACTGAATGGTCCAGTAGACACTGGAGGAACCCCTGAGACTATTGCCTTGGGGATACCCTTTGAACTTTGAACTCAGACCATTCCCAAGGGTCACCTATCAGGCAAAAGTAACTCATACAGTAGATAATATCTCATATGAATATTCTGCTCATCTAAATGAGACTTAACAATCAACATTTATTGTGGCCCAAAGATGAGAAGGTAAAGGAGGGCAAGGAAGCTAGATAAATAGAAACAGAACAACCAGAGTGGAAATAATGAGAATGATGGTAGATTGTAAAACATCTGACAACCCATGTCACTGCATAATATGGTTGGTGCTGTTGTTCACTGCTGTCGAGTTGGATCCGACTCATAACGATCCTAAGGTTTCCAAGAAGTGGTTGTTAAGCTCGAACCGCCAACCTGTGGTTCAAACTGACTTTGCAGTCCAGTGCATTAGCCCACGGCGCCACACCAGGACTCCAATCTGGTTAGTAGTCCATATTAACAAGTGCTTATCCTTCAGAGTCACCATGCTCTGAATAATATGCATAGAAATTATTAAATGAGTACCTAATTTGCTATGTGGCTCTTTAGGATGAGCACGGGACTGCAAACCACAAGGTTGGTAGTTCAAGCCCACCAGCTACTCTGCGGGACAAAAATGAGACTTTCTGTTCCAGCAAAAGATTTAAAGGCTTAGAAACATTCGATACAGGGTTGCTATGAGTCAGAACCAACTCAATAGTACTTAACAACAACAACAATTTGTTATGTAAATTCTCCAAAATTGCAAGAAAATATTTTTAAAAAGAAGAGTAAATAGAGAAATTCCAGCTCCTTAAATACAGCTGTATTATAAATGAAAAAATTAAAGTTAGGAAATGGGTTTTTAAAAAACAGAAAATGAGAAACTACTTTAAAATACTTTCTAAGTCTGAAATTTTCCCTTTTAGAGCTTCAGCGTCACAAAAATTGGATTAATTGGTTTGCTATCCTGTCAGTGGTTCATGCTTGTCCCTTCTAATGTTAATTAGCAATATAGTAGACATCCCTGAATTCACTACTCAGCTCAAAAAACTAGAACATTGCTAGAAACCTGTGAGGTTTTCTCTATCCCTTCCTCCTGTATTAGTCACAGCTTCATATGTGGATTCTAAAATTGCTGGCTTTCAGGCAATTTAGGCAAAAGAAAAGTTAAATAATGCTAGAAAACTGTTAGAGGACTTAAAAAGCGGCTATAGTGACAATGAAGACACTAATGTTAAAAAAAAAAAATGCAGGTTTAGAGTTTGAATTAAATTGTTTCATGAAATATGGGATGGAAGAAAGTTATTTCTAAATTAACATTTCAGAAAATGTAACTTTAAATGAGTTGGTGAAATTAACAGGTTAAAGATTATTAGGCTATGCTCTATAAATATATCTATATGTTCATATATATTCATATAGGTCAAAAATTATTCTGGAAAAATGGGAACACAACTTTATATTTAGGGTCATTTGATATTCAGGCATATGCAATAATGCTGACTTTGTACAAGCTGAGTTAGTGACCAGTTCATTCCCAAATGCTAATTTTCCGAGCTTCCATTTGTTTAAGTGGAAGTCCATTTTTTATTTTTTCTTATACAGCAGATAAATGCCAGCTCTAATTATAGGCAATGATAAATGCTGCTGTATAACGCAGTTGTTGTTGTTGTTAAGTGCCGTTGAGTCGATTCTGACCCATAGCGACCCTGTACAGAGTTTCCAAGGCTGGAAATCTTGACGGGAGTAGAAAGCCTCATCTTTCTCCCGCGAAGCGGCTGGTAGTTTCGAACTGCTGACCTTAAGGTTCACAGCCCTATTCGTAACCACTACACTACCAGAGTTTCTAACGCAGTATAAGTAGTAATAATACTGTGACATAGATGAATGTTAAGAAATAATTGATTACATATTTCATTTAATGTTTACATGGAAAATAAAATTGCACAGACCATTACATATTAAATGGAAAATCTAGCTTTCTTTTTGGTGAAATGAGGTGATGATTAATTTCAGTTTTAATAAGTGATATTAATGACTTCTGTTTCTTCTTCTGTACATAGCTAGAGCACATCGAAGTCAAGTTTGCCTCAGAAGCAGAAGATAAAATCAGGGAAGACTGCTGTCCAGGGAAACCACTTAATGTGTTTAGAACAGAAGTAAGTTGAAAGAATCTCCCTGAATCATTGCATTATTAGATATAGAAGAGACCTTGGAGATCATTACATCCAAACGCATCATTTAAAGATGGAAAGCAGTGAAGTCAAGAGAAGTTAAGTGATTGGAATGTCTCAGGCCATGTAGTTTGTTAGAAATAGCACTGAACTTGAGGCCTCTTTTTCCCTGGTGGGGGCAGCCCTCACTTTCTTTTCCTTTGACATCAGGTACTTTTTGGGTGTTTTAAAATTAAGAATGATTATTTAAACCTCATTTTTATCAAAATACAGTGGAAATTGAAGTGTAAAACCTTTTAAACAATGAAAAGAAACTTTCAAACTTTAGATGAGTATTAGTTTGATTTGTTATTCAGTTCTGTTTGATTTTTGGTATAAATCAGAGTCATGCATCTTTTTAAGTTACCTTGCAATTCCTCTTTTTCTTTTCATTACTGATGAAAAGAAATAGGTTTGGGAGTTAGAAATTCTATTTATTTACTCTCTAAGAACTCATTTTTTGTTGTTGTTTAGTGTCATCAAGTCAGTTCTGACTCATAGTGACCCTGTTGTACAGGGTTTCTGAGGAGCGGCTGATAGGCTTGAACTGCTTACCCTGTGGTTAGTAGTCTAGTGTTTATCTTACAGAGCTACACCAGGACTACAAAAACTCATTTAGAATGGCAATATTTGGCAAAGTCTGCGATTGTGAGGGTTCATAAAATGTCTTACTTGATAAGCAGAGGATTTGAATTTGTTCTGTTCCTTTTGACACATTTAAGTAGCAACTCAACTAACAGAAAAAAGTCTATTTTGAATGAAATAATCATGGAGACTTCCTGCATTTATCAGTTTGTAGTGAATACTCATTCCCTAATCATATATTTGGAATCCTGGTGTGGTGCTGTAGGATAAGCACTGGACCACTTCTCGGAAACCCTATAGAGGGTTGATATGAGATGGAACCAACTTGACATCACTTGACAACAACAATCAAATATGTACGAAGATGTGGTAGTTTTTTAAAGTGCAGTTATTTGGGCCATGGAGATAGGTATACAATATAGTGTTCTCTATAACAATATGTCTATTTCAAGTCACTCACAAATATTCTATTAGGCTGCTATGTATTAAAATCTACAGAGTCAGGTGACTTAAACCTGGATTAAATCCTGGCCCTGACACTTAACTGTGTGGCATTGGATTAGTTTCTTAATCTATTTTGTTCTCAGGTTTTCATCTGTGGAAAGGGACCCCAAAAAACTACCTATCAGGAGTAGAAAGAATGTCTGTAAAGTACTTTGTGTAATGCCTGGTACACTAGTTGTTGTTGTTAAGTGCCATCGAGTCGGTTCCGACCCATAGCGACCCTGTACAGGGTTTCCGGGAGTAGAAAGCCTCATCTTTCTCCCGTGGTAGGAATTCAATAAATGATGGTGGTTGTGGATGAGAAAAATGTAATTATTGAGGCCTGGTGTGGTGCTGTAGGATAAGCACTGAACTGCTAATCACAGGTCGGTGGTTTAAACCTACCAGCTGCTCCTCGGAAACCCTATACAGTGTTGCTATGACTCAATGGCACTTAACAACAACTATCCTTATGAGCGCTGGTGTAGCGCTGTAGGCTAAGCTTTGGTTGGCAGTTCAAATCCACACAGGGCCGCTGTGAGTGGGAACCAACCCAACAGCACACACAACAACAGCAACCATCATTACTGAGGTAGACCTCATCATTTAAAAAATGAGTTTTAACTGAGCATTTGGTTGTCAGCATGTGCTTATAAGTCTTCTCTTTTCATGTTTAAGTATCCCTTGGTCATGATTTTAGAATACCAGAAGTAGAATTGTCTTCACTGAGCATTAAAAATGCGACAGAGACTGAATCGTCCCTCAGCAGTGTTCTAGTATGAGTTCTTTTAACATTCATTTTATTTCCCTAGCCTGGTGTGTTAGTTTCCATATTGAATCCTCAGCCATCTAATGGTCATTTCTCAACCAAAATTGACATCAGGCAAGGCGATAATCGCGATTCCATAATCAGGCGTTTAATGAAAATGGATCGAGGAATCAAAGGTAAAAATAAATGGTTTCCCTGAAACCCACATTTGGCAATACTTTGTGGAATGGGCAGAGGGGTGAAAGAAAAGTAGCCAGCTTGCTTAGGGGCAGCTGGGGTAATATAGAAAATATATTAGATCCTGAATAAGGGAACCTGTATCCCTTTGGCAGGGGCTTACTTGTACTTACTTACTAACTTATAGAGAATAATTCACATTTTTTCACCATATCAAAGATTCTGCTGCTAGGTCTGGCTGACATCTGTTTCTTTCCCAACTCCACAGCACCTTCCTATAGAACCAAAGCCTCTTTGCAAATTTATAATCCCTGACAGGGACAAAGTACCCAGTAAGCAAGGTAAACATGGACATAATTGTGTTTACTTAGTAATCTATAATGAACCGTTTCACAAGGTGTTCACATGGTGTGAAGTTATTCACTGCGTTTTAGTAAGTAAGTACATGTAAGACTGGGCTTACCATGCATGTTGGGTTATGGGGGCCGCCCCTGCTGTTAGGGATACTTTGACTAGGTAGATTAGTGATGTTTCCATGGCCTTAAGCTTGAAACTGATTTTTCTTTTAGAAAAACTGATGACATTGGAATAGACTTTTTTTAAATTTTATTTTAAGGTTTTTATTGTGGATTGAGTGAAAGTTTACAGGGCACATCATCAGTTTCACATTTAACCATTCATATGACTTGTTTCATTACATTGATTATAATCCCCTCTATACATCATCAGTCAACAGTATTTCTTTTTTTTTTTTTTTTGCGGGGGCGGGGGGGAAACTTTGCCTTTTTGGAATTTACAGTCTCAGCTTTTAGGGAAGGTTTTTACATTTATCTGTGGATATCCAGGGCTCATGTATGCGATTACTAACAAGCATAACTGAATAATCAAATGAGGGACAATTTGCTATGTCTGCTAGGTGGCTAAAGTCTGATCCTCAGAGCCTATGGTTTGGACGGTCAACAACGCTTGGGCCCACAGGGCCTTGAACTCCTGGCCGGGTCTGCACGTTCTACATCCGTTTCCCCCTTATTTATTATTTGTTTAGGGGACGCTGCCTGTCTTAGGCAGTCAGTGAGAATTCCTCCGTCTTACCTGTCATCAAAACTCATTGCAGCATGGCAATGGCTCTGTCTTAGGTTGCAGAGGTTTGAAATAAACTTTTTAATTTTTTTTTTTAAGGCTCCATCTAGCTCTAAAATGGCCACAGGCGATTTCTCTTTATTTGCTGGTGCTCAGGATACCCGTAGTATTTCAGACTAACCTACCCAGTCGGGTTTGTTTTAGAGGATGGAAGAGACACAGAGTAGAACCTTCTGTCTGCCTTGTATTAGCTATTTCCTCCTTTTACAAGGCTATATAAAAAGATGATATTATCCTTTTTTGATATAAATGATGAAATGGAGATTCAGAAAGGAAACTAATTTCAAAGTTACTCTTTTGTTGTTGGCAATCAAGAGTTAATAGGACTACATTCCATCAGTCCAAGACCAAACCCCCCCAACAAATCCCAGTTCACTACTGTTGAGTCAATTCCACTCATAGTGACCCTCCAGGACAGAGAACTGCCCCAAAGCTGTCACTCTTGTGGGAGCAGACAGCCGCAGCTTTTTCCCATGGAGTGGATGATGGGTTCCAATAGTGACCTTTCCGTTGGCAGCCGAGCACTTTAACCATTGCACCACCAGGACTCCCTCTGAGTACAGTGTTGCTGTTTAAGTCCAGTAGTAGTTTCCTACAAAGATTTACAAACCCCAGACAGTGACTTAATTTTTGCAACTATATTCATTATGACCATATATGATTTTATGACATTGATTTTCCATAAAAATTTAATACAAGAATTGAAACAGCACATTGCAGTTTGTTATACCATATATTTTTCTGGTCTCATGAAGCCATTCACCTAGTCATTTGTTCTACTGTGGGCACTTAACTGTTTAAGTGTATGTAAAGCTGCTGTATATTTAGAAACTCCTGATGTAGTCCTCCTGTAGGATAAGCACTGAGCTGGTAACAGTAAGGTCATCAGTTCAAACCCACCAGCTGCTCTCAGAAACCCTATGCTAAGTTACTATGAGTTGGAACTGACTTAATGGCAAATAACAACATAGACAAGAGTCTGTGGGGAGTCTACAAAATACTGCTCATGAGGAGGCTGCAAAGGAGCCGTGATTAAGAATTCACTTGCTAACCAAGAGGTTGGTGGTTGGAACCCACCAGTGCCTGCCTCCACAGGAGAAAAGACCTGGCCATCTGCTCCTGTAAGGATTCAAAATACCTCGGAACTCATTGCTGTTGAGTTAATTCTAACTCACGAACCCCAGTAATAGGACAGCGTAGAATGGCCCTATAGGATTTCGGAGAGTATAAATCTTAACAGAAGCAGATTGCCACATCTTTCTCCCATGGAGCATCAGGTGATTGGAACCAGCTACCTTTCAGTTACCAGCTGAGCACTAAGGTTGTAGCACTGGAACTCCCATCGTAAAGAGGATCGCCTGCTCTGGGCAGTTCTCCTCTGTCCTGTATAGTTACTGTGAGTCAGAATCCACTCACAACCATAAAGCTGCAGCTAGCGAATGGTGGGAGAATAAGCTATTGAAGTGCAGAATCATAATAAAACAAGAAACTACTGAGAGTATTAAGAAAGGTTTAGATAAAATGTACAGCCCAGAGGAAGGTGAGATTATTTCCTGCTGTGATCAGGGATCAATGTATGGGGAACTGATTGGATGGTACCTTGAAAGTTTTACTCATGATGGTGAGGGGAAAGAACAAACTAAGAGGAAGAAAACACTGATTGCTGGTTTCACTGTGTACAGAGTACCATTATCAGTGATACTCTGTTAGAGATTTTATAGTTTATAGATGTTTATCATGTTTCCCCCAATAAACCAGGTACTACCCTTAGAACTTACAGGTCAGAACTTGCAAATATGAACATATAAACCTGCTGCCGCTGAACTGATTCCAGCTCAGAGCGACCTTTCAGGGAAGAATCAAATTGCTCCATAGGGTTTCTGAGGCTGTAATCTTCAAACAAAAGCAGACTGCCTCATCTTCTGTGGAGCAGCTGGTGGGTTCACAGTGCTAACCTTTTGGATAGCAGCCCAACATTTAGCTTACTATCTGCCACCAGGGCTCCTTCATGAACATCTAGGAAGCCGTTTCTGGCCCCCATGAGAAGATTTTAAACAGCAATAACTCTTAGTCATGAAGAGCAACATGGTGACTATTAAAGAAAATAGATATTTATGTGGGCACACTGCATAGGATTATTGTGAGGTACATGAGAGGATGAATTTTTGTGTTCAAAGTTGGTATCATATAATGTTAAGTCTGCCTTCCTTTTAAATGCACTCAGATACTGCACTGATTAGGTTCTTCAGAACTGTACTGAACTCAAATATATTTTCAACATTTCTTACTGAGCCTCTGGCATAATTCTTATCTCCTTTGTCTTACTAGCTGAATAATATTATAAAGTGCTTTAAATTCGGTGTTAGTAGTTGCTGTGAATTTTAGAAAATAGACATGTTAGGGAAGAGTTTGAGATTGATATTCTCTAAGTATCTACTGAAGAGATCTAACCTTGAGACTTTTCCACAAGCCCTCAGGATGCTTTGATATCTAAGGGGGCTGAGCATATTGAGTATATGAGATGGGAAAGGAGTTATATTCAGTAATGTAGTTCTTGGTCTGTCTGCTGTAATTGCCAGCAAGTCATCCAATTAGTGCCAGTTGTATCGAGAGTGATTATGATCTAGGTTTAGGAGGAACTGGACTCAAACCATCATTTCTCTCCACAAAGGCCACTGAACAACTATTTGATAATAATGACTTTAAATCACTCTCAACCATGCCACAAATGAACTCTAATACCTTGGAGGCGAAAGGCTCCATTTTACATTATCAATCCCTGGGGACTTTCAATCACCCTCATCTTTTCTCCAAGTGCCTTGAATCTTTTGTAGTTGCAGACTTAAATTTCAGTATTTTCAATGATAACAGAGGTCTGGGATAAGAAAAGATAGTAAAATCACCAAGAAAGCCTCCAAGAATTTATTGGCAATAATGAACTACGTGGTGAGACATCAGAGCAATCGTGTTTTGTCACTTAGGAGTCTGAATACTAAGGCGTCTTTGAAATAGTTTGATTCTGAATTGCTTATAATGGTGAGGGAGGTTTGTTTCAGAGAGACAGAGAGAGAGAGACAGAAGCAGCTCTGCAGTAAAATCTGCGTGAAATCCGCTCTGGCAGGACGTCTCACTTCTTCCATAACCAAATATTTGCTGTCACTGTGTAAAAGTTGAATTGTAATAGCTGGTAAAATAAATTGTATTATTTCCCCAAAATAAGATCATGGCTGTCATGAAGCTGGTGTCTGCACCTTTCTCATTTTAATTGTCAGGGCTTGTGTGATATGGTCTCTGCAGAGACTCTCCAAACACCATCAGGCAGGATTTGCCTTAGTGGTAGTTGCTGGTAATTGCTCTATAAGCCCACAAATCCCTATTCTGAACTTGCAGCCCTTTGGTTTTTGTTTCCCAAAGAGAATGAAATGCTGGGATAATGTGTCCTTTTGGCATAGCCTCCAGCTGCATTAATGTCTCCTTTTATCTCTCATCCCTCCCATGCTAAGCTTCATACTCTCAAGGCAATGTGAGGGAGTGTAGCTCACAGACCACCCAGCAATCGGCTTTAGAAAAGGGTGGGAGTAATCCAGATCTACCATCTACTTTTGTGGATAAGGTTTGAACATAACTAGCGTGCTACACATAGAATGAGATGTAAAGCTAGACTCAGCATTTGTAGTCATTTCTAGTCTTTTCCTCTATCATATGAAATAAAGCCATTTGATGTTGGGGAGCCTCAGAATTGCTGAAATAAATAAATTTATTTTGGGCTCCGTTGTTGGCAGGATTGATGGATCATAAATTTGTTCAAGGAACAAGTGCTTTCTTTGCCAGGAGCCATCTTATCAGCTTGCACAAGAGCAGATCAGGAAAATCTCAAGCCGAATAGGATTGAAGCTCATCCAAAACTTCAGAATTCTAAAAGCTGTGCCCTTTTCCTCTGCCCTCCCTCTCCTTTCCTTCAGTCTCATCAACTTGTTAATACAAACACTTTCATCTTTTGAGCAAAACAGGAAACTGGTATGCTATTTCTTAGAGTAGTAGTTTTTTCTCCAAAAGTATCTTCCAAGGAAAGCAACAACTCTCGTAGGTTTAATCTAGGAAGCAAGACAAGAAGGAAAAATGTTTTAGACTTTTTGATAATCTGAGTTTATTAAAGTATATAAAAAGTGATTTCAGAAACCATATATTGTTGTTGTTAAGTCCCATTGAGTAGGGTCCGACCCATTGTGACCCCGTATAGGGTTTCTGAGGAGCAGCTGGTAAGCTTGAACTGCAGACCTTGCAGTTCAAATGGCTTTGCAGTCTGGCGCATTAACCCACAGCTCAACACCAGTCTCCTCAGAGATCATATGTTGTTGTTGTTAGGTGCCATCAAGTCGGCACCGACTCATAGCCACCCTGTGCACAGCAGACCGAAACACTGCCTGATCCTGGGCCAACCTCACTACTGTTGCCACGTTTTAAGTCCCTCGATGCCGCCACCTGGCCAATCCATGTTGTTGAGGGTCTTCCTCTTTCTCTGACCCTCCACCTTACCAAACATGATATCCTTCTTCAGTGACTGGTCCCTCCTAACAATAGTACGAAGTATGAGAGATGAAGTTTGGCCATCCTGGCCTCCAAGGAGCACTCTGGCTGCACTTCTTCCAGAATGAATCTATTAGTTCTTTTGGCAGCCCATGACACTTTCAGTATTCTCCTCCAACACCATAATTCAAAATCATCAATTCTACGGTCTTCCTTATTCACTGTCCAGCTTTCGCATGCATATGAGATTATTGAAAATACCATGGCTTGGGTCAGGTGCACGTTAGTCCTCAAACTGACCTCTTTGCTCTTCAACACTTTAAAAAGGTCTTGTGAAGAAGATTTGCCTAATGCCATATGTTGTCTGATTTCTTGACTGCTGCTTCCATGAGTGTTGATAGTTGATCCATCAAGAATGAAGTCCTTGACAACTTCAATCTTTTCTCTATTAATAAGAATTTTGTTTATTGGTCCAGTGGTGAGGATTTTTGTTTTCTTTACATTGAGATGTAATCCATACCGAAGGCTGTGTTCTTTGATCTTCATCAGTAAATGTTTTAAGTGCTCTTCACTTTCAGCAAGCAAGGTTGTATCATCTGCATATCGCAGGTTGTTAATAAGTCTTCCTCCAATCCTGATGCCACAATTTTCTTCATATAGCCCAGCTTCTTGGATTATTTGTTCAGCATACAGGTTGAATAAGTATGGTGAAAGAATATAACCTTGTCACATATAGGATATGCTAAAAAATGTATACAACCTTTCCTCTCTCATGGTTGATAGTGAAAGTTGTGAGAGCTGGAAGTCATGGGACTGTTTGTTTTTGTGGGTCTTGCAAGAGAGGTTTTGCCTTTGACAGGATGCGTTCTTACCACTTTTGTATCACTCATCTTGGTGGAAAATATTTGAGTTTTTGTTCTGTGAGTTTTTTGCCTTAACAAGTTTCAGCTTTCACATGTTTTACTGTAATTCTGGTAGATGTCAATGTTTGTTAGAATCTCTGATAATCTTTAATCTGGTTAGGCTGAGAGGGTGTGAAGGTTTGTTAGATTTTAGCTTGGCTTTCTGTGATTGGCTCCTCTTTAGTAATCTTATGAAAATATTTTTGTGTAGCTATAGCAGCCAATATATTTAAAATGTGAATTATGAGATTCAGTTGTGGGTTTCAGTCAGTGACAAAATAAATAAGCTCATGTTGATACTCTCTTTTGCTGGCAGACCTTTCCAAAGTAAAACTGATGAGATTTGATGATCCACTGTTGGGACCTCGGCGAATTCCCATCTTGGGAAAAGAGTACTCTGAGAAGACTCCTATATCTGAGCATGCTGTTTTCCATGTGGACCTCATGAGCAAGAAAATACATCTCACTGAAAATGGGCTACAGGCTGATATTGGCGATACAATTATCTATCTGGTTAATTAAACTCCAGCAGATTGGAGATTTCCTGGTTTCTGGTAATAGTTCTACTCTGATTGTGCCTACGGTCTGGCTAAAAGAACCTTAGGTGGGACCTAAATAGATTTCCTGTCTAACCACCAAATTCTGCATATAATCATAATTATATAAAGTCATCTTTGATTCTTAAATTTAATAAAAAATATTCCCTCTTTCTTTGAGCCTGTAACAGAAGTGATTTGTTTCATAGTTTGTTTGTTTTTAAATAAATTATTGATATTTCCCAGAACCTTCCAATTTTTCAGATTAACTCAAAAGTGTCAGTGTGTTTATTAGGGGCTATAAGTTGGAATTGACTCGATGACAATGGGCTACTTTTTACCTCTTATAAGTGAATTAATTACCCTGTATAACTTAAGGGAGCATCGTGGCTCTGTATGATAAGCACTGGACTGCAAACCACAAGGTCATTGGTTCAAGCCCACCAGTCACTCTTCAGTAGGAAGGTGAGGCTTTATACTCCCATAGTAGCCTCGGTAACCCTGTACTTGATCTCTATGAGTCGAACTGAGTTGATGGCACTTAACAGCAACCACCGCGATGAAGGCTAAGGAGTAGCTAACAGCTTTTTATATTGTTTCTATTTATGGAGTTGGCTCTAAGTTCAGGATCATAGGCTAAGATTACTTAATTCTCAGCTAAAAATAAAATTAGACAACAATTTTTTAAAAAAGAAAGTCACTCATGGTTTAAAAGAATACTTTGACTTAACTATGAGCACTAATATTTTATATAAAGAAGAAATAGGTGCTGCATTTTATAAGCTTTTGTTTTTTTAGAAACAAGTGAATGTTATTTATTCAGAGCTTAATATAGCAAGAAAGTTAATCACCATTTATTTTGTATAGCAGAGATTCAAAGGCAGACTACAGAGTTGGAATGCTTTTGTTTATTTTTTCATTCTTACTTTTTTTTTTTTTAAGTGTTTATTGTGAATTCAGTGATAGTTTACATGGGAGAACATTGGTTTTACACTGATTGTTTCATTGCAATGATTACAATCGCCTCTGAGCAGCATCAGTCAACAGTATTTGCTTCTATTCCCTTTTTTTTTTTTTTTTAGTGCGGGGGTGGGTGGGTGGAGAGGGATGTACACAAAAACACTCAGGAATATATAATCATTTAAACAACCAAAGGACACCTTCTGAAAGCCTGCCTCCTGGCTGCCAGCATACAACCTTTCTCTTTGCATGAGTCTAGAGCTCTAAGTGGCTCTATCTTTCCATGTCATCATCTCTGCCTCCATCTCTGGTGTCACTGCTTCTCTGGGTAGGGTACCACATTAAACTCCTGCTCTTCTTCCTTGATGGTCCCAGGGTCTTCTGTTTCTGGACTGTAAGATTAACTACTTCCCCCATTTTGTTAAAACTTCAATATGTAATCATCAATAATGCTTTTATTTTTTCCTAAGGCTAGTTATCAATAGTTTTTTTTTTTTCCAATAGTTTTTAAGCAGTTTATTTGATTTAACTGTTTTTAAAAAAATATTTATTGTGAATTATGTAATAGTTTACATGGGAGAACATTAGCTTTACATTCATCCTATCGTATATCATTTTATTGCCATGGTTACAATCCCCTCCATGCATCATCAAACAACCACAGGATATACCCTGCAAGCCTGCCCCTCGGTCATCAGCACACAGCCCCTCTCCCTCTCTGGGTCTAGAGTCCCCAGCCACTCCATCTCTCCACATCATCGTCTCTGCCTCCATCGCTGGCATCACTGCTTCTTGGATTTAACTATTTTAAGAGGATTTTTTTCTCAGATCTGCATTTGGCAAATTTGTCTTGTGTTGTATTTAAAGATCAAAGCCGACTGTATTGCCAATGCATTCTTTTATTCCTGCTGGATTATCTTTTTTATATTGTCTGTGCCATCTGTCTTCACATGGAAAAAAAAGTAAGACTGACTGACAGAGGAGGCAAACATTTTCATTCTTGACGGGTTCAATATTGAGGAAAGACTAATTGTGATAGCCTGTAGGATGTACTCTGCTCTTCTCACTTGGTAGTGGAGTAAGGTCCCTCACCTCTCAGCTCACCTCTCTCTCCCCTTTTATCTGTTGTATAAGATAAAAACATGACACAAGCAAGGATGTGACTCTAAGGCTATGATTCAAGACACACCCACACTGATCCTGCCTCCTTAACAGGTTAGGATTTGCAACATACCACAAAATGGAGGGCAGCAATACAATGGTGGCAGTCATAGCCAAGCTGATGCATATTTTGGAGGGGGCACAGTTCAGTCTTTGACACCAGCTAATCTTGTATTCAGAGCCCTGTGGGTTAATGTGCTGGACTGCAAGGTCTGTTTGAACAGCCACTCCTTGGAAACCCTTTATTGACTGCACTTAATAACAACCTTGTATTCACTGCAGGGTAATGCACTAGATTACAAGGTCGGTTTGAACCTCAGGGTTGGTGGTTTGAACTCACCAGCTGCTCCTTGGAAACCCTACATAGAGTCGCTGTAAGTCAGAACCAACTCGACGGCACTTAACAACAACAACAACCTTGTATCGTCCTATTCCAGAACTGGAATCAGTCTTTTCTCCAAGGGACCCGGTTTCATTTTAGTGAGGAAGTGGTATTTGGAAATCAAGATAGGGGTTTTTTGTGTGTTCATTGCTACCATGGTATAGCAAACAACACTGGGCAGAGCTAAGACATGCGTGTATTTTTTAAATCATGATTTTATCTAAAATTACAGAGTTCTTTCTTACCTTATCCCTGTTTTCCCTTTTCACAGTGCAGAATATTTACTCATGAGTCCTGGTGGCTCAGTGGTTTAAGCATTGCCTGTTAACCAAAAGGTTGGCAGGTTGAACCCATCAGTCGCTCCAAGAGAGAACGATGAGGCCACCTGTTTCTGTAATTATTTACACCCTCAGAAATCCTATGGAACAGTTTTACTTTGTACTATAGGGTTGCTATAAATTGAAATTGACTCAGTCTCAGTGGGCTTGGTTCTTTTGCTCTATTAGTAATTTCTGAATAACTAACCTAATACTGCAATTAACAACAACCTACCTACAAGTAGAGGCCAAGATGGCCAAACTTCATCTCTCATACTTTGGACATATTGTCAGGAGGGATCAGTCTCTGGAGAAGGATATCATGTTTGGTAAGGTGGAGGAAAAAAAGAAGACCCCCAATGAGATGGATTGGTCAAGTGGCAGCATTGATGGACTCAAGCGTGGCAACAATAGTGAGGTTGGCCCAGGATCGGGCAGTGTTTTGTTCTGCTGTGCATAAGGTTGCTATGGGTCGGTACCGACTCGATTGCACCTAACAACAACAACAACAAGTAACTATCAGTATTTTTTGCAGATCTTTTTGTCCTGAAAACAATCACTAAGGGATATAGGTTATGTTAAAGTGTTACTTGAATTCTTATTTGTCTATGTTTTAAAAACTATTTTGTTGTTGAACATACTGTAAAACAACATCAATTCCGCAGTTTCTACATGTGTAATTTAGTGACTTTGATGACATTCTTTGAGTTGTGGAACCAGTTTCGCCTTTTCTGAGTTTTTCTTCCCTATTAACATAAATTCCCTGCCCCCTAAGGTTCCTATCTAATCCTTGGAGTTGCTATTGTCAGTTTGATCCATGTGGTAGGTAGTGTGCCATGGAGTCGGTTCCGACTCATAGTGACCCTGCAATAGGGTTTCCAAGGCTGTAAATCTATGGGAGCAGAAGCCTCACCTTTCTCCGGTGGAATGGCTGGTAGTTTCAGACTGCTGACCTTGAGGTTAGCAGCCTGACTTGTAACCACTACACTACCAGAGCTCCTTTTGATCCCATGTAAATCATAAAAGACCATAATTCTCAAGTCAGACATTTTAAATATTTTTAAGAAGACTTCAGGTGATATTTTTGGTTTAAGGTTTAAGGATTTTCCCAGGATAATAGTTTTAGAGATTCATCCATCCCCCATGGCTCCAGAAAGTCTGGATTCCATGAAAATTAAAAATTGTATTCTGTATTCCCCCCCCCCCCCCTTTATTGGGTTCTTCTATAGAGTTTTTAATAAAAATGTTCAATGATGGTAGCCAGGTACCATTCAATTTTGGTCTGATGGCAAAGGAGTTATTTGTTTGTGGAGACAGCCACATGTTCCATTTCCTCTTCCTCTTCGTGACTCCTTCCTCTTGCTCTAGGGGAATATTGTACCTGGGATGGCTGCTTGCAAGCTTTTAAGGCCCCAGTAACTACGCAATGAACTAGAAGTTCAAACAGAAGCACTAAACACATTATTAGGCCAATTAACTGGGCTGTCCCATGAAACCATGACCCTAAATCTCCAAACCAAGAAACCAAATGCCATGTTGGCTGTATATAAGGGGGCTCAGCAGCTACTCTTTATTTGTTGTTGCTATAAATATGTCTATCACGCCTTTTAAAGGTATACAACTTAGTGACAGCACTTAATTAACTGTGCAACCTATAATGTGATTTTTGTATGTGGTTTAATGTATAGATTCACTCTTGTTTCTTTTTGTATTCAACTTTATGGCTTGCTATTTTCCTTTTTAAGTTTTAAAAAATATGTAAAATACATGGTTCAAACGTCAAAACCCCATCTATTCAGAGAATTCTTACCCTCTTACACCACACGGTCCTTCAACCACCAGAGCAAGGATGGGGAACATCTGGCCCATGGGCTGTATGTTGTTAAGTGCCATCGAGTCAGTTCTACCCCTTAGCAACCCTGTATAGGGTTTCTGAGGAACGGCTGGTGAGCTTGAACTACCAACCTTGCGGTTCACACTGACACTGCAGTCCAGCACATTAACCCTCAGCGCCCCACCAGGACTCCATGAGCCGTATTGTTGTTGTTGTTAAGTACCATGGAGTCGTACTCATAGTGACCCTGCATAGGGTTTCCGAGGCTGTAAACCTTGGCCGTATAAGACCCATGAAATCACTTGGTCTGGCCCTGCCAAGGCAACCACAGTTCCAACCATCACTTTGGTTGGTTAGTTATGTGTCACGGAGTAGGTGCCGATTCATAGTGACCCTGCACAGGGTTTCTGAGGCTGTAAATCTTTATGGGAGCAGAAAGCCTCATCTTTCTCCCACAGAACAACTGTCAGTTTTGAATTGCTGACCTTGAGGTTAGCAGCCCAACTTGTAACCTCTAAACT